CAATTAATTGTTTTTGTAAGTTTACTCTCCAGATGAACGAATTTCTAATATATTATTAAAGAAACGCGTTCTTCGAAGAGACATTAAAGAATCACTATTGTTGGATATCCAAGCAGAATTAAAGCTAGCTTACGAAAATTTAGAAGATAATTCTGCTATATTCAACAACACGCCGTCATTCTTTAGATATGCTAGTTTCAACTTTGTCAAGGAAAATGGTGATACTATCTTATGCTGTTTACATATCGGAGACGTTGTATCAATCAAAATCAAAAAGGGAGAAAATTTCGCGATTATAAAAGCAATATTCTGTCATCAACAAGAGAATAATCTTCGCTTTGCTTTTATTATAGTTGATTGGTTTGAAGATGTGAATCAAACAAAGCTTAGTTGCCCGGTATTCAAGTTATGAACAGCAAGTAATTGGCGAAAAGTTTTCTCTATTAATTTAGTGGATGCAATTAACACTGTACATTTTGTTTATAGTTGTAAAGGCGAAGAATGCACTGGAGGTGTTCACGATTTTAGAAATAGTTTGTATATAAGAAATATGTATTTTTTTAAAGCCGTTTAATACTTATTATTATTTATATTTTATTAATAGAACACTTTACATTTTACATTAGTAGCATTTATAGATTTACATAATTGAATATGATTGGTTAGATTTAGATAGATTTAGATAGAACACTTTATTATGACTTTATTATGGATTTAATATTTCGCTTTAATACAACTTTAATACAATTTTATTATACTTTCAATACAACTTTAATACAATTTTATTATACTTTCAATACAACTTTATTATACATTCAATATAACTTTACTATACATTCACGATCTTAATACTATGTTTTGTATGACCACAGTTAAATCAGGTGATGATCTCCTTAACATAAATTAACTTTATTTATACACCTTTATTAATCTTATCGTAACGATGTGAAATCATATTTTGACCAGACCTTGGTTATAAGATTTACACTGGTTTACAATGCATTTTCAATTTGGTCATAATATGATTTCGATTCAAAAAGTTTCTGCAAAGTTTATAGAATCCACTAAACAATATGACCAGAAATTACCTTTACGCAAAACCTCTATGTCTTAAGTAAAGCCATTATTTGTCAATGTTTATGAATTAAAATTGATTGATAATACTAATAATACTACAACCTGATCAGTTTCTTCTACGGATGAACAAAATATGGTATCTACAGCATATACTATACCACAATCAGTCTCTTCTATAAATGAACAAAATAAGGCATCTATGGCATACACAGTACTACAATCAATTTCTTTTACAGATGAACAAAATATGACATCTATAACATCTATCGATTGCATCAATTTTAATAATTTAGTACTAATATTTACTGCATTTGTTTAAGCGATGAAATCAGATACACTTTTACCAAATACAAGATATACATCATATATGCATCCGCAATCTATTATGACTTCTGGTAATATGATTACTTCATCTATGATAAATAATAATGCACCACTAATCAAATCTATAATAATACATCTCTAAATAATGTGAGTGTTTTAAATATTAACTTACTTTACTTGCTGAATATGAAAATAATATTATAATTAATAAAATATTTCTTCAATTATATATTCTTTAAGACTCAACTTACATCCTTATTTATTAATGAATCAAAGGTTCTTTTTCTCTGTATTCGTAAGCCAATACTAAAACTGATCTTAACACTAGTTAAGAAATGTGCAAGACATCTTGAAATTGCTGATATTAATGCTAGTAATGCAAAGAAGAAAGGTTGCGGATGGTTTTCAACATGAAGGATATAATTGTATGATAGATGTACCCAAATTGTACTTGATTTCTTAGATGGTTATAGGTAAATATTACTTTATTATATTCTTTTAATTTTTTTTAAATACATATTATTAACCGTAATTATATAATTATACGGTATATCATTAAAAAATCTTTCAAATTTGTCTCATCTTCGAAATTTTGTGAGTACAAATAATATCACAAATATTTTTGAGTCACAATTAAAGTAAGTTAAAAGGGATTATTTATTCAAAAACAAATTGTTTTAGAATTTCCTAAAAGAATATATTGTTGAAGTCACATTAAACATGATCTGTTTATTTATGCATAAAAATGTTGACCATATGATTTACAATAATGCTATGAAGGTCTAACGAGCAGGATGGCGAAATGTAATGCTAATTGATTTGCATGCTCTTGATTGTATTACAGTTGATATACATATTATTTCTGAGAGTAGAATGATATTAGTACAAAATATAAATATTCGTAGTTATGTAATCTTGTAAATTTAATTTTACAGTATAGTTAGTTTTCTATGATATGCTTTAGTAATCATGCAAAATGTAATAATTCAAAAATGTAACCATTGCAAATATTGTTTCAATTTATTATCTTAATTTGATTTTATTATTAATAATGTAACTATTGCAAAATTATTATGATTTATTATTTAAATTATTTTAAATATGTAATTTGTAATATTCTTAATATTCATTGTGTCATAGTACAGTACTCATAAATGATTACAATATATATAAAAACAAATTCAAGCTTTATAAAATAATGTTAATATTACAAAAATATTACAAAGGTATTATAAAAG